TTTCATGATTCAAGATTATTGTACCTTAGATTATTATGCTGCTCTTAATACCTTTTTATATCTATTTTACAAAAAAACAATATACAAAACGGCTAATGCATAAAATAAATAATATAATGGCTGCAAATTAAGGGATGATCTTTATCTCTCTCGCACTAGTTAACTTTTTATTAATTGTCCTTGTTATAAATGAATTCTCTAATTAGAGAATAGCAAAAGAGTTTTTTACAAAAAATTATCTAGTAAAATTTGCTTGTCGGTATTTTTTTGCCTTTAAAATATTATGTCCAGTAATCTAAAAATATTTGCTCTCGGTGGGCTGCATGAAGTCGGGAAAAACTGTTATGTTCTCGAAAAAAATAATGACATAATTATTATTGATTGCGGGATTAAGTTCCTTAATAACAATAACTTAGCGGACGGAATTATCCCTAATTTTTCTTATCTGTTAGAGAACCGAGAAAAAATTAAAGGATTGTTTATTACCCATGGGCATGAAGACCACATTGGAGGTATTCCTAGTTTGTTTCAGTTAATCCCAATTATCCCGATTTATGGTTCTGAATTCTCAATTTCTCTTTTAAAGGAAAAACTACCGAAGTTAACAAAAGAACAAAAAGAAGCAATAAATACTTTTCAGAATGACAAACCAATTGTGACCAAAGAATTTCGGGTCAGTGTTTTTCAGGTGACCCATTCCATTCCTGGCTCTTTTGGAATAATAGTTGAAGTCTTGGCCGATAATACTCGTCTTGTTATTACTGGTGACTTTAAATTTGATTGGACCGAAATTGGAGAAAAGTTTGATTTAGTTAAGTTGGTCGAGACAGGAAAAAAAGGGGTCGATTTGTTACTTAGCGACTCAACTAATGCTGAGGTAGAAGGAAATACCCCTTCTGAGACTAAAGTGGTCAAGCGTTTGGAAAATATTATCGCAGAGGCGACCGGAAGAGTAATTATTACTTCTTTTGCTTCTAATGTTTACCGACTTAAAAAGGTAATTGAAATTGCTAAAAAAACCGGTAAAAAAATTGTTTTACTAGGTAGATCGCTGGAAAGAATGATAAAGGTGATCGTGAAAACTAGTTTATGAAAAATAGATGAGTCAGTTTTTTTGGAAGCGAAGGACATTGCCAAAACTACCAACAATAAGTTAATTATTTTTTGCACTGGTTCCCAAGGCGAAGGAAGGGCTGTTCTTAGTCGTCTAGCTCACCAGGTTTATGAAGGTTGAAAAGTGGAGAAAGGTGACTCAATCATCTTAACTTCTTCTCCCATTATGGATAATAAACTTCAAGTGGAAAAAGTTAATAATAAATTATTTGCATTGGGGGCCAAGATATATGAAAATAGTAAAGAGGATTTGCTGCATGCTTCGGGACATGCTTGCCAGGAAGATTTAAAACTAATGCTTACTTTGGTAAAGCCTCGCTATTTTATGCCTTTTCACGGCGATTTTAGGATGCTAAAAAAGCATGGATTCCTAGCCCAAGAATTAGGTTTGCCTAAAAAAAATATTTTTGTTTGTGAAAATGGTGAGATAGTAGAGGCAAATGGCAAAGATTTTTTTTTAAGTGCAGCAAGAGTGCCAGCGCAGCCTAATTATGTTTTAAATGGCAAATTACTTCCAGTCGGAGAATTAGATAATAGTTTACTTTTAAGAGAAAAAATGTTTCAAGGCGGAGTAGTGCTAATAGTACTCTTTTATAGTAAAAAAAGAAAAAAATTAAGCGATGCTCCTTATATTTTCACTTATGGGTTTATTAATATGAAAAGAAATGAGGAATTGATTAATAGTTGAAAAGAGAAATTTAGCGAATATATGAAAAATAATGAACTAAGCGAAGATTGAGAAGAGGAAGCAAAAAATTATTGAGAAAAAGAATTGTTAAAAGATTGAAATAAAGAAAAGCCTTTGATACATACCATAGTGAAGTATGATTAAAGTAATCAATAATTTAATACTAGTGGTTAGTAGAGGAATTGCCGGAGTCGTTGCACCACTGAGGTTAAATTTAATTATCTATGAAATGCCCCACAAAGAAATGAGGGAGGTTTTCAAAGTCTTTTGAATTGATCTTTCTCTTGGGTCCCTAGATGAAATTAAAGAAAAACTAATAGAAGCCAAGGAAAAATTACAGAGTAATAACCCTATTTTTGGTTTATCATTAAAAGAATTAACAGTTACACATATTAATGACTATGACTACTACAAATGCGAGCATTTTCCTACTTTTTTTATGGATGGCGAGGTAGAAACTACTGATCTGACCCCTAGTTTTAAGTATAGTAAAAGTTTTAATCCTGATGATTACATTAAGCCATTAGATATCATTAAAAGATTTAGGAGAGAAGAAGATAAAGAAAAGTTAGAACTTCATACAGGTATATATCTCGGTAATGGATGGGTCTGTCATGTTCGTGGTGATAATATTGTTGAGATTGATGAGTGAAATAGTTTTTTTAGGGTTATACTTCTAAATGGAGGAACTGATAAATTGGTGCGTTATCATCCGGTTGTTGCCTTTAAGAGGCCTGAAAAGATAATTGAGCACATAGCCAAGGTATTTGTAGGCAGAAAAAAATATTTTTCTAGAAAAGAGGATGGGGGTAAAGATAGTTTTGGAATAAATAGAAATAATTGCGAGAACTTTGCTAACCGGTGCGTGCTTGGATTTAATTCCTCTGAATATGTTGATAGAAAAACCCAAGATAGATCAAAAATTAATGTCGAGGAACATATAAACGAGACTAATTCTGCTTTGGATGGAATGGCAGAGAATAGTGATTATAATTTAATAAGCAAAATTAATGAAATAAATGGATATAAAAATTCGGTTTACCACTTACAAGGAATAAAGATGGAAGCATACGTTGAAGTGCAACCCATGCCGAATATAATTAGAGATATAATTAAAAAGTAATCTTATGACAAAAGTACTTCTAACAAAACAACAAGAATTAATAATAAAAAAAGTCGAGGAAATTTGTGCCAGGTTGGTTCAAAATTATGAAAATAGGGATGAGAGGGGGGATAAAGATTGAGTAAGGGGGATAAAGATTGAGTAAGAAAAAGGAGCGAAATGCTGGGAGAAATAAAAGACCAAATTCTAAAAGATTTAACTCTGTGAGAGTTAGATGTAGAAGGTAATATTCGACCGACATTAGGAGTATCAGTTAATACAAAAGGAGCCGGAGGAGGTTACACTGTTTATGGTTATGAATTCGGCATAAGTTACATACATTTTTTCTTTGAAGAGGCTAATGTGAGGTACAAACGAGAAATTACTCGTGCTTTTTTTGAGGAAGTTAAGCAAAATCCGCAAGATTGAGAAATTACGGTGGAGGACAGAGAGGATGAGGGCATCAACATTCTTCCGCAATATGTTGATGACTACCAAGCGGTAAAACATAAATCAGGGAGAATACATAATCGGGGGCATCGGTGATATAGAGACTTGCCGCGGCCTGGGTTCAGTGATGAAGAATGAGCCGAAATCGAGCAGGTCGTAAAAAAAAGCAAGAAGTTTTTGGAATACAAAGAAAAAGACCAAGATTCAATTGATACTAATAAAAAAATTAAAAACTTGATTAAAAAAGTGAAGGCAGAAATAGTCGAAAATCTAGCCAAAAATAATCTCCAAATTACTAATTTAAACAATGAACTATGAGAAGGAGCAGAAGATTGAGAAGAAAAAATTGAAGGATTAGAAGATGAGAGTCAAATTGTCCTTTTTGGGCAAAGAATGGGTGAAGAAATAAAAGCCTTAGCCGATAAAAAAAGTACTCAAGCCCAATCAACTGAATCAGCACCGAAAAATGGTAATGCTACTCTTTACCTAATCACTATAATAGTTATTGGTTTACCATTGGTTCTGTTTTCTCTTATTTACAAGTTTAAAAAGAGAAGTAAATAATTAGGTGATTAAATTTGTATATGAAGACTGAATTAGTCACCTAAATTAAAAATATTTAACATTAAGTCTTAGGCAAGTTCTTAATTACTATTACAGTTTGTAATAGATTTTTAAGTTAAATAATTGACAACACCTACCCTTTCCTTGTGTAAAATTTCTATTATACCACTTTCCTTTAATGACTTCTAAATTTCTAAAAAGCCTCGGAATAGAGGAAGAAAATAAAGAATTAAGAGAGATAGAAATTAACTTCTCTACCCCTGACTGCTGAGAAATTGTTACTCCTTCTTTGCTTGCGGCGGAAGTGCTTGGTAAGTTACTTTATTCAATTTACAATAAATTAAATTATTTATTCATTTTTTTTGATTTTCGGATAAGATTTAAAGAAACAGATCTGTCAATTAGTAAAGAAACTATTAGAGGATACTTTGCGTTAATTTTTTCAACTCCCTTTCTGTGAGAAAATGAGGAAGATTTAATTTTCTTTTGTGAGCAGGAAGACTTATTAGAAGAATTTACTTTTCGCCGAAATATTGTTTATTTTTATTTTCTTGACCAACAGCATTTAACTGTTTTAAGTTCTAAATTGGTTGTCTTAAAAAATATATTAGAAAGGCTGGGCCTGTCCAGCATTCGTTTCTCCCTCAGACAGAGAGCGAAAGAGTTAGATAATACTCACAGTGCTGATTTGCAACAAAATTCGTTAAAAAACGGTCGTGGCGAAAGTCTAAAAATAAAGAGAAATGATTATAACTCAGAAAAAGTTTTCGTCAAAACAAAATTAAACAAGTTGTCCCTGTTTCAGGAGTGAAAAGACAGAAAAATTTTTGAATTAGGAATTCATACTAAATTTAGCACCTTAGACGGCATAAGTAGCCCAAGCGATTATGTTGAAAGTGCTAAAAAAAAGGGTTATGCTTCATTGGGAGTAACCGACCATTATAATGTCCAATCTTTTCCTGAATTCAGCAAACATCAAAGCAGTAATTTGAAAATTATCTATGGATGTGAACTAGAAGTATTAGCAGATAAATTACCTCCCTATATTTTCAATCACGACAGCAAAATTTTAGAGGAAAAAATAGGAGAATTAACCTATTGCGTTTTTGATTTGGAAACTACTGGATTTTTCTCATCCTACAACGAAATAATTGAAATAGGATATGTTATTTATAAAAAAGGAGAAATTATTCGTGAAGGGGAGTACTTGGTCTGCCCCGAAAAGGAAATTGCTCCGGAGGTTCTGGCTACCTGATATACTAGTATTGATCCTGATGAATTAAAGAAGGCTCCAAAAATTAAGGAAATTTTACCACTGTTAAAAAAGGATTGACAAGATTGTTTGTTAGTAGCACATAACGCTGCTAACTTCGATTATGGCTTTTTAAATAAAGTATGAACCGAAATTTTTGGTGAAAAATTGTCTTATCCTATTCTAGATACCTTGCCTTTGTCGTGAATAGTTTTGCCGGAACGAAAATCTTATAGTTTAGAAAAACTAAGTCATGTTCCGGGGCGGGAAAAGGTGGTTCAGGCTCACCGAGCCTTGGAAGATAGTAAATTGTTAGCCGAGTTATTAGGAAAGTTAATCAGAACTTTAAAAGAGAAAAAAATTAGTAGATGAGAAGAAGTGGAAGGGCTAATTAATGGCAATTATTTTCCTAATCGGGGTCATAAAGTAAAAGTTTTGGTTACAAGTCAAGAGGGGCTAAATAACCTCTACCGTTTAGTAACCCTTTCTCACACCGAAAGGTTATTCAAGAAACCGTGTGTTTTCCATTCTGATCTGGTTAAGCATCGCCAGGGGCTTTTGCTAGGAGCATCTGGGGGAAGAGAGGGGGAAATATTTACCCTTTTTAGTTCCTTTAATTCTGTTGAAAGAAAAAGAAAGGCGATGAAATTTTATGATTATATTGAGGCAAGTAGTCCAAATAGTTTTCGTCACTTATGGTTAAATGGGAGAATTAGAGAAAATGAATTAAAAGCGATGATTTTGAATATTATTAATATGGCAAAAGAAATTAATGTTCCGACTATTGCTTATCACAATGTTCATTACTGCGAAAAGAAGAGAAATATTCTAAAAGAGATTATTGTGGCTAATGAAGGAATGAATGGAGTTAGGCATTATCTTTACAAGGAAGCAACTCTGGAAGAAAGCAAAGACCATTTTGCCGCTTTGCCTTTTCAACACCTACTTACAAAAGAAGAAATGATTGATGAATGACTTTTTTTGAATGATAAAAATTTAATTCAAAAAATTATTTTTGAGTATCCTCAACAGATAGCAAAGAGAATAGAGGAAGTTAGGATTCAGCAGCCCCCACTCGACTACTCAAATACCGAAAGTATTAAGCAGGAGGAAAATGATTTAATTCAAGCCTATACTCAGAGGGCTAACAAAATTTTTGGTGAAAAATGGCCTGACTTTGTGAGAGAAAGAATAATTAGAGAATGACAAATCATTAAAGGTCGGTATGTCTTTATATATTGGTTAGCTTATAAGGTAGTTAAAAAAACTCAGCAAGACGGTTCCTTAGTTGGTTCCCGGGGTTCAATCGGTTCCTCTTTTATTGCCTACCTATGTAAAATTACCGACTTAAATCCATTGCCTTTTTATAAATTTTGCTCTAATTGTCGCTACACTGAACTTTATAAAATAAAAGACCGAATTTACTCCTGCTATGATTATTGAGAAAAGGAAAATTGTCCTAGTTGTTCCTCTCTGTTAACTATGGAGGGACATAATTTGCCTTTTGAAACTTTTTTTGGTTGAGAAGGAGAAAAAACTCCTGATATTGACCTTAATTTTTCCGGTGAATATCAAAAGGTTGCTCATAATTATGTGCGGGAATTGTTGGGAAAAGATTCAGTCTATCGAATTGGAACCATTAATGCTTTGTCACAACAAACAGCCGAGATTTTTTGGAGGGAGCATCTTAGATTAAGATTAAAAATTAACCCTGATTTTAGTGAGAATAAGTGATACAGAGAATGAATAGACGAAGAAAAGCAAAGAAAATTACAAAGAACTTTAATTCAACTTCGCCAGGAAAAGAACCAATTGGAGGCAAGGTTGAAAGGGAAAGAGGAAGAATAGAATAAATGCTTTCTTTAAAATCCACAAACCCCACTGTTTTTTTTTTTTTTTTTTGACAACCTAAACAAATAAACTTTATTTTCCTTCATGGGGTATAAATGTAAACTATTTTTCTCCCTCACTGACCTTTTATTTTTTTACTACAATCCTGACATTTAGCGGTGAATAATTTGTAAATGTAATAGCAGTGATAAATCAACAAAAGAAAAACAAGAAAAGCGATAGGTCAAACAACATACCCAGGAACTTTACCTTCTCACAAAGCCATATTTTTACTATATTTTATATAAATTTTATTTTTTTAGATGTAAAAGTTTTTATGTCACATTACTAAAATTTCCTAAACTGTTTCAAAAATCGGACATCATTGTTATAAAAATGGCGGATATCCTCTACTCCATATTCAATCATCAATAATCTCTCCACTCCTAATCCAAAAGCAAAACCTGTAAACTTTTGACTATCAAATCCACAATTCTTTAACACTTGGGGGTGAATCAAACCGGCTCCTAATATCTCTACCCAGCCGGTTTTTTTACAAATATTACAACCAGAACCTCGGCATTGGATACATTTAGCATCCACTTCTACACTCGGCTCAGTAAAAGGAAAATAAGAAGGGCGGAAACGAATTGGATGTTTAGGACTAAACAATTCCTTTAAAACTATTTCGAGAGTGCCTTTTAAGTGAGAAAAAGAGATATCTCGACCAACCGCAAATCCCTCAATTTGGGTAAACTGGTGAGTGTGAGTTGCATCATCTTCATCACGTCGATAAACTTTACCAGCAGTAACAATCTTTAACCCTCGATTAGGATTCTTTTCCATAACTCTTATTTGAGTATTAGAAGTATGAGTGCGAAGAAGGAAATTAGTGTCCAAATAAAAAGTATCATGCATGCCCCGAGCCGGATGTTCAGAGGGCATATTTAATTTATTAAAGTTATATTCTTCATTCTCTACTTCTGGACCTTCGGCAATCTGGTAACCTAAAGGAATTAAAATACTATAAATTTTTTGAATAATTTGAGTTAGAGGATGAAGATTAGCAAAAGCAAATTTTTTCCCCGGTAAGAAAACATCTACTCTTTCACTTTCTTTCTCTTCGCGAGAGTTATTTAGTTTCTCCTCTGCTTTCTTGATTTCAGCAGTTAATTCATTTTTTCACTTGTTAATTAAACTGCCTAATCTTTTTTTTTTTGCTAGGTCTTTTTGTTGACTTAACTGCTGAAAAAGTTGAGGAATTATACCTTCTTTTTCCAAATATTTTTTTTTTATTATTTTTATTTGCCGAGAACTTTTAACCTCTTTTAAAGATTTGTCAATTAAAAGAATAATTTCCGACTCTTCTAGTTTTTTTTCTTCCATACCTACCTTTAAAATATAAGAAATACCGCAACAAAATTAACCAAAGTATATTTCTTAATTAGTTAAAAACTTATTGACGTCCTTTATCATAATTTTAACTTGTTACTCTTTAGTAGAGACTATTTCTTTCTGATCTTCAGCTACTACCTAATTCAAATTTATTTTCCGCTTTTATGCATAAAAAAACATACAAAAGTAAAGCACTAATAGAGGATGAAAGTAACAAAAAGAGTTTTAAAAATGAAGAACCAAACAATTTAATATCATCTTTTATAACTCCACTATATCAAAGAAAGAGTATAAACAAATAAAAAAGAGTGATAAGGAAAGAAAAAAGCATAAAAAAATTAAAAATTTCTTCTTTATTTTCTTCTTCCTAATTAACCATGAAATAGGGAAATAAAGAAATGGGGGAAAAAGAGATTAAAAAGTAAAAGTTTAAATTAAACAAAACTTTTTCTATCGGTAATCTTTCCATTACATTATTCTACAATTTTCCTTAGGCGGAACTTCTAATAAATACTGCTTTTCGTATTTCTCGGACTCTCAGTCAGACTTTTCTTTTAGTTTAGCATTACTGCTCATTACATTAATTAAAAATAATTCCGATTACCTTCCTTTAAAAAATGTTCTCCATCCGAATTACTCTTTAAAATGGTGGGAGCAGAAGGATTCGAACCTCCATAAAAACGATCTACAGTCGTTCGCCTAAGCCGTTCGAGCCATGCTCCCATACTATTTGCTTTCTCTGATTTATCAACTAACTCAAATACGGAATTAAATGGTGCTGACTGTAGGAGTTGAACCTACAACCTACCGCTTACAAGGCGGTTGCTCTGCCAATTGAGCCAAGCCAGCGAATTTATTTGGAATTTTTTAATTTTCTCTACAATCTCACTTCAACCACAATAAATTTTATTTTGCTAATACCATAATTTTTAAAAATGCTTTACTTCTCCTTAGCAAGCCCACGGAACTCCTCTGACGGTATGTTATCTTTTCTAATAGAAATAACTTTTTCCTCAAACATGATATCCTTCGTCCCCATTTGTTTTTCAAGTAAACCTCGATAAAAATCACTTACTTTGGGATGAGCAAGCATCACGTGGTTTCTATCAAAACCAACAACTTGCAAATACTTGACTGAAGTTGCCCGAGAAAGAGCCACATACAGTTGCCCTTCGGCAAAAATGCTTCGGCAGTCAATTTTTAACCTTTCAATACTTTGCCCTTGGCTCTTGTGAATGGTAATTGCCCAACTGAGTATGAGAGGAATCTGTTGACGACTGGCTTGAACAATATTAGTGTAGGGAATTTTGATACTTCATTCGACTGGTTCGATAACTTTCTTAATCCCATTAGTAAACCTAACTACCGGAAGAAGGAGTTTTTGAGTTAATATGTTTCTTTTTTTAAATTCTCAATCATAATGGTTGATTTTACATTCTTGCTCGCGAAAACCAACTACTATTCCTTGGCTTCCATTGACTAATTTAGGAGATAAATTTTTAATCAACATCACTTGGGATTTAAGTTTCAATTGTAATTGATGAGGAGCAAGGCAACTTCTAATAATTTCCGATAATCGATTAGTTGAACCCTCTCAATCTATAGCCTGGTATGAACGCAATTGATAAGGAAGTTTTTCTAATTCGGTACTGTTAATCTTACTCACCTCCTCATTAGTGGCTGATAATTGAATTGCTTTAATACCATCATCTGGATAGTCAGGCTCTGCCTCCAATTCTTTCATCACTTCCAACCCAGAAGGCGAAATTTTGCCAAACCGAACTTCATTAAGGAGTTTAATTAATTTACTTTCATTTTGGCGATGAATTTCAGTTAATAGAATAAAATGGCTAAGACAACTTTTTCAACTTTGAGTTTCAAAGCAAAGTTTTGGCATGCCTCTCCCTTTGGCAACCGGGGGAAGTTGAAAAAAGTCTCCCGAGAAAATCAGTTGTAATCCTCCAAAAGGCCGGTCATTATTGCGAATTACCCGAGCGATTAATTCCAATTTGTCTAATAAATCTCCCTCCAACATGGAAATTTCATCAATCACTAAAATATCTATTTTTTTTCACCTTTTTTGATCTCTTTTCGATTCTTGGATTTTTTTAATTAAATCAGGCAAAGAACTATTACCTAAACCAATTCCGGAAAAAGAGTGGAGAGTAGTGCCGTTTATATTGACAGCAGCAATTCCAGTCAGAGCAGTGACCGCTACTTTTTCTTTTCCATAATGTAATCTAAGGGCTTCGATTATCCTTTTTAGCAAAAAACTCTTCCCGGTGCCAGCTGCTCCAGTAAAGAAAATACTTTTTCTATCCCTTACCGCCAAATAAAATACCTTTTTTTGTTCTTCGCTCAACAGACTAGTAAATTTTTTGTTTTCTTTTTCAAAAGATTCCTCGTTTTCCCGGTCCTCAGGCGGAAAAATTTTCTCTAATTCACCTTCCTTTTCTTTTTTAATTAAATCTAACTTTTCTAATTTCTGGATAGTTTTTTCCTTTGACCTACTTCTCTTTTGACTTTCTGTTTTTATGATAATTTCTTCTTCTCAAGCAGTGGTTTCCCTATCATTATCTAAAAACTCTATTCCTCGACACATAAAACTGCGAGGGCCTTTTTCACATTTCAGAAGACAAATTTTGCTTTCTTCTGAATAATCTTCCAAAAATTTTTTTCCAAAAGAACAGAAAAACCCCCCCTCCTTATTCTCTAATTTTGCCCAAAAAAATTTGTAATAACCTAACTTTCTCCAAGTAGGCTTTTCAACAAATCTAGCCACTGTTTTTCACATTAACTTATCTATGGTAGAGTGTGCCGGACTCGAACCAGCGACCCCCTGCTTGTAAGGCAGGCGCTCTAACCAACTGAGCTAACACTCTTTATTTATAATTTTTTATCTAACAGAAGTCAATATTAGATATTTTAACAAATCTTTTCAACTTTTCTTATGGCTTTACTACCCTAGATAATTAAATGTGTAAAAGTAAAATTTTTAACTCCTAAACCTTAAAAATATCCCGAGACTAATTTAATACAATTATTTTAATCTTTTTCGCACTCTTCCCTTGCTAATTAACAATGCCATTCTTGCCATAATAATTACTAGTGCCAACACTGCAATGAAAATTCAAAAAAATTTTTGCTCTCTCTCTCTCTCTCTCTCTCTCTGCTTAATATGTTTAAACTGGTTATTAACTTCCATAAACTTGCTTTTTACTAAATTATTCCTTGCTACTTCCAACTTCTCAGCCGAAAGGGTTTGGAATTCTTCCACTTTCTCCGGGCTAACGGAAAGCACTTCGGCGATTTCTTTCAAGTTTTTAAGAATAATTTCCTTACTTATATTTTCTTTGTCTTCGGAACGTGGAGGATTTTTTAAGCGTTTTATTTCGGCCAAGAGTTCTTTTTCTCTCTGTTTTCATTCCTTTTTATCAATTTTGAATTGCTGAATTATTTCTTTTTGTTGCTGGGAAACCTTTTGTAATTTCTGATAAGAAGTGTTTAGAGAGTTATAATCTTCGCTTTTTTTCTCTTTTTGCTCTCTTTCAGTAACGAGATTACTTTCTAAACTTTCTTTCTCTGTTTTTAGTTGAAAGATTTCAGCATATTTATTATTAATGGTGATATTTTTCCTACTGATTTTTTTTTGTTGCTCTTCTTTTTCTTGCTGTAATCGAGTTTTATCAGTTTGGAGGTTTTGAATTACTATTTTCCTCTTTTGGTCCAATTTTTTAAGATTTTGAGTTTGTTTTTGATGTTTGTCTTTAATTTTATTTTTTTGTTTTATATGCTTATCTTTCTGTTGTTTGACTTCTTGCTTTTCAAATCTTACTTTTTGTTCCTTTCATAATAGAAGTTGAATAAGGTTTGGTAATCAATTTTTAACGTGAACTTCTCCTATCTTTGCTTCTAGTTCGTCAAATGACTCTTTATATTGATTTCGGTAAAAACTTAGTTGACTAGAAAAAAGATCTCCGGCTGCTTCTGTTGCTCCTTTTAATTCTTTTTCTAGTCTCCCGACTTCTTGAGCCTTTTTCTTTAATTTATCATATTTTTCTTTTTTTCTTCTATAAAACCTTATAACATAGTCATTTTTAAAAGGGGAAATGAAATTAAAGGAATCGATAAGAGGATTATTATTTAAGGGATCTAAAAGGTCGTCGTTATCCAAGATAGATGGGTTAAGAAATTTATACAACACTTCCTCGCTTCATTGGGGAAATTTATCTTTAAACTTGTTAATATCTAGTTTTCTGTTGGTATAAGTTTCTTCTAAATATTCTTTTATTTTGTAGTTATCTCATTTAAAACTCCTTATAACTTTCCCATTTAAGGGAAAACTTTCTTCAATTAAATCTTTTAATTTTTCATTTAATATTTTTACTTTACTCTGCTCGCTTTTTCATAGTTGGTTTAAAGTGCTTTCTGATGTTCTTAATTCTTCAACTTTTTCTGATAATTCAGAAAAAAATCTTTCGAGTTCTTCATTCTTTTCAGATAATTCTCGGTTTCTCTCCCTTAAGTCCTTCAATATATTTATATTCTCCATAATATTATTTATAATTTTAGAACATTTTGTAGTTATTTAATAGAAAACAGACTTATTCATAAAGTTCACTAATATAATTCCAGTCCAGCAAAAAATCAAGCAATTTCTCAACATAAATCTTTCGACCATTGGGAAAAGGGTAGTCGATAACATAAGCATGTTCTCAAATATCAATACCAATCAGAGGCCTCAAATGTAAAGTTCAGGGTCCATCTTGGTAAACCGTATTAATAATTTTTAATTGCTTTTTTTTATCAAACACTAACCAAGTCCAGCCACTTCCTCGAACCCTCAAAGCACTTTTTACTAACTCTCTCTTTAAATTTTCCAAACTAGTAAACTCCTTTTCGATGGCTTCTAACAACTCTGAACTGATTTTTTCTTCATTCTTTTCATTCGGCTCAGTCAAGTGAGTGAAAAAGAAATTATGATTTATCAATCCGCCACCAAAAAAACGAACATCTTCTCTTATTTTAGCCGGTAATTTATCTAAATTTTTCATTAATTCTTCTAAAGAGGGGAACTTCTCTTTTAAATCGGTTCCTTGTATTGTTTCATTAAGTTTTATTTCATAGTTTTTATGCAAAATGTTATAGTGATAATACATGGTCTTGAAGGAAATTATATGCTGTAATCCGTTAGGGTCATAGGGCAATTTGATTCTCTGATAAGCATTCATATAAACTTTTTAATAATTTCAAAACTCCAAAACCCCACTGTTTTTTTTTTTTTTTTTTTGTAAAATAAGTTTAAGAAGAAAGTTATTTTCTCTACTTCTTTTAAGATATGTCAGACAAAACAATTAAATGTAGCAATTATAATAAGTGCGGCCAGGAATGAAATTTCACTCCGATTAAAGGTTCCAATAACACTGAATTATGTAATAAGTGCGGAGGCAATATTTGTTTCATTTGTGGCAAAAAATGAAATAAAGAAGAAAATTTTTGTTGAGTGGAAGACTATGATTGTCGCGGAAATAAAATAATGGTAAAAGCCTATCGAGATATGTTTAGCCAAAGTGAAAAAGATGAGAAACACCCCGAAGGAGATTTAACTGTCTACTATTGCGAAGAACATCGAGCAGAAGGAGAAAAAAGTCCGAATAAGTGAACCAGGACAGACCAAGAACAATTGGAAAAGAAAAAAAAACAAGAAAAACTAGAAATAGAGGAAAAATTGAACAGCCAAAAAGGATTATTTTATTGCAAGGATACTTATGCTCATTGCGTTGAGTGGAAAAAAATAGAAGGAATTGAATATGGCTGTATTTATTTTCAAGGAAAGGAAAATGGCCGAAATTATTATTTGTTAGTTCCGGATACTCACCCTGATTTAGCCAATTTCAGATATAAAGAAAAAGTGAACGAGCAAGGACGTGAAGTAGAATATACTCATTGAACTTTAAAAAAAGAAACATATTATTTGGTTGAAGGAGTTGATAATTTATCTCTGGAAGCAACTTCTGCCGAAAGTTATCTACATAACGTGCCAGATGGTTTTTGTAAGGTTGTTGGTTTAAATGATAGAATTAAGATTACTGCCTTAGAGAATGATAAAGAACCAGAAAATCAAAATGAAGAGGGTAAATGTGATAATTGTCACAAAAATTTAAAACCCCTTCAAGAAGGAGTTTATGTAGGGGATTATCGGGGAACTAAAAGTGATAGACTTCATGTATGCTGCGATTGTTATCAGAACAAAGAACAAGATTATTTACAAAATTATAACTTTATTTATTCTTATAGCCCAGTCCGTTACCAAAAAAATGGATCAGGTTACATAAAAAATGATGGTATGTATTGCTATGACGACAAAAAAGGCATAGATGGAGAAATACTAAGACAAAAAGACTGTCCTCATTGCCAGCCATGGAAAAATCCTAAAAATAATGGTGAATTGGATACTAATTTTTTGCTTCAACATTTCCAAAAAAACGAGGTCGAGGAAATAATTTGGGACAAAGATAAAGGAGAATTAACTATTGAATTCCAAAGCGGGAAAGTCTTGAAGCATGGTCCAGTAGAAAATTTTCCTGAACTGTGTGAAATTAAGGATTATTTGGAAAAAAATAATAAAAATAAAATTACTTTATCCGAGTTAGGGGGAAATACTAAACCTAGCACAACCGAAAATCCTCAGGGCAATAAAGTTCTATTATGGTGAGGCCTTAGCGGGATTCTTTTAATTATTGGTGG